TGTTATTTATTCTTTTATGTCATATGTGTGTCACCTTTGATTTTAATCGCAATTTTAGATAGGCATACTAATATTTGGCCTTAAAATGCGATAATTAGGAAATAGGCCTATACTACGAACCAAGAAATGTTTAATTTCTCTAATATCTATTGGTAGATGACTCTAAATTAAGATGTTTGTCATCTCTTCGAGAAGTTAACAACGAGTAAGAAAGATATTCTCGTGATTGTTAATAATAGATAGGCCTAATTTTCTAGTCTTAATAGAAGCGAGGTTTTAATGCATATAAACAGCTATATTCTGTCACCTCTTGATAATAAAGATGTTTGCATATCATTAATGGCTACGTGTGATTCCAAATTTTATGACGTTGTTCTTGACACTGATACACAGAATGTGATCATTTGTAAGTTCTCTGAACCAATTAGGTTTAATTTAATGTTATAATTTATTTATGGGTGAAAATGTAGTAATTTACTCTAAATTAAGACGTGTGTCATGCAATTGTAAACGTTTTAAAACCAGCAAAAAGGAAATATATGATCTTTGTTCTAACGATCATTTAATTGCTATAGAGGAACACTGGTTAACTGACGTCCAGGAGCTTCCTATTCTTAAATAATTCCATGATGAATTTGAATGTATAGCGGCTTCTGCTATGGATAGTTCTAAGTCATTACATATTGGTAGACCACGTGGTTTTGTTGCATTATTTAAAAAAATGTTTATATGAGGGTGTCAAAATTGTTGATTACAATGACAACCGCCTGGTCGGAATTAAGATAGGTAATAATACATAAACCGTTTTTTGTATGCTGTTACTTACCCTATGAAAAGACGATAATTTTATAGATTTTAAATTTTCTTAATTATCTTGGAAAAAGTCAGTCTTCCGTTAGGGATTTTAGAGGAGATAAAGTGGTTATTCTAGGTGACTTCAATGCTGATTCTAATAAACGTTTTAATCATGAGTTTTGTAATTTTTCTATTGAACAGAACATGAAATTGAATTACTAGGGCAGGGTTCTGATACATTTACACTTGTGAGCGAGGCTCATGGAACCACCAGTTGGCTCAATCATGTCCTAGCTGCATATGGCGCTCACTCCCCTATAGGTAAGAAGAATGTTGTCCATAATTACATTGGTTCTGACCTTTACAATTTGTTTATGAAATTTTGTTGTCGATAAATATTGATAATAGGGGTACTAAACCTAATAGTAATATGCCAATCAATTGGTCTAAAGAGGATGTAGATATATTTTCGGTTGACTGATTTGTATTTGAATGATATCGCGATTTGTACTGGGAATTTTAATTGTAAACACGTCAACTACTGTAGGTATGGGCACCAGACTCTCATTACCAAAGTCTACAATGACAGTTGTTTGCAAAAGCTTCTCTGGAGTGTTTTCTGTCTAAACATAACACCCACTATAAAATTGTACCTGGGTGGAAGGAACACGTGTCTGATCTTCATGATATTGCAAGGAGGCCTTTCTCTTTTAGCAGGGTAATGGCAGTCTCAGGTTTGGTGTCTTGTATGGTGCAATGAAAACATCAAGATGTAGATGTAGTGGGCGTTAAAAATGTGTAAAAACAATGCCGACCAAATGGAGGCCAATGCAATGGCCAAGTCGTTAATTGAAAATAATTATAATGAATCAAAGTTGTTCTAAAATATTTGAAAACATTCTTATTACTTTATGTGGTAACAACCTAGGGTCAATGCCGTAGCCAGCTATTGGGACAGTTGGGATAGTCCCACACAATTTTTCTAATGGGTCCACAAAGAATGGGTCCACATTTTCAAAAATGGGTAAAAATTATGCAATTTTATGCATAAAATAAGTTCACTTTTTGAAAAATGGGTCCAGATTTCTCATATTTGTCCTAAAATGGGTAACATTTTAAGAAAATGGGTCCAGATTTTAATATTTTTGCGAACAATGGGTCAATTGTAAAGAAAAAGAAAATGGGTCCACAATATTTGAATTTATGAGTGAAATTGGTCCACCCTGATATTGTCCCGCACTGTTTGAAAATCCTGGCTACTGCATTGCCTAGAGTCTACAGACTATCAATTTGCGTTTAAAAAACACTCAACTGATACATGTATTTATGTTCTTAAAGATATAGTTGACTATTACAACCGTAATGGCAGCCCTGTTTATTGTTTTCTTGATATAGAAAACTCATTGATAGAAATGTTTCTTTAACTGTTGTTCTTATATTTTCATGGTATTCTAGACAGGATTCTGCATCCGTTGGGGGCGTGAAGTATCTAGAGATTTCTGTGTCTGTCACCATGGTGCACGTCAACGTGGAGTTTTATCGCGTCTGTTGTATAATGTGTACATTTCAGAGCTTAATTCATTAAGTGAAGCAAAACAATGGCATTAGATTTAATTATCTGGGTTATGCAGATGACATGGTTCTCCTTTTTTCTTCTGCATCTGGTTTACAAAATCTTGTTGATATTTGTCAAAGTTAGGCGACGCAGATGAACATGATATAATTTACAATGTCAAAAAGTCAATATGCATGGTTTTCTGTCCTAGAGTTAGGAAGCTACGTGGTAATTCGATAACCTACCTAACTACTTGAAAAGGAACTAGGATATGTGGTATCCGCTGCTACTTACCTTGGTCACATCATTACTAATGATTAAGTGATGAAAATAAAACCGTATTAAACGTCTTTGTATGGTTTTCGGGAACGTATTTTTAATAGTGACCACTTATCAGTGTCAACTATAAATGAGTATTATTTTGATGGTTCCAAGCTAAATTATAGGTGGCGTGAACATGCTATTCCTAAAACTTGTTTTTTTTTTCTTTCTCTGTGGGTTTAAGATGTACTGTTGTTAAATTTAAGTGAGGATATGGACTACGGTCTGAAATAAAAGTAAAATGAAGATGAATTAATTATGGTATTATTTTATATTTATTATGTCTTTTGTTTTAACGCTTTAAGCTGATGTGTTACCATTTTTTATATAGTGTTGTATCTTCTTTTTATAAGGGCCCTTTATTTCAGCTAACGTTATTATGGTCACCCTCATGAAATAAAGTGTATTAAAATAAATAATTGTAATTTTAAATTAGTTATTTTAAATTGCTTGTAATTCTGTATTTTTAAATATGTTATTCAATAAACACAGTACACAATTTTAATTCTGTAGTTTTAAAAATGTGTACTCTCTTTATTGAAAAACATGCAACGATATAACTTTAATGCCCTTTAAAATTTAAATGATAATTGAAAGGCTAAACATAGGGCTATGATTAAATAACTGTAGGTACAAGGAACGGCGATTAAAATCAACAGTAAAAATATATACTAAGCATTAACAAATATAAATATAGTTAACATAGTTAACATAACATATGTAAGGTAAACATATAATAGTTTTAATAAACGTATTGGAAGCAGGAAGCTACAAATATATAGTATCGTTTAAGTACAGTATATCTGCTAAAGTGTTAATATTTCGTGTTTAATTCAAATCGATAACGTCTGTACATAGTGTTTATTTGTTCTGCTTGAGCCCAGACCTATATATATATTAGTATTTTTAATCACACATATCATTCTTATTTAATTACAGTACATTAAATATAATTTAATAATACTGTAGGGTTTTATATATATACATATACATACATATATATATATATACATATATATATACATATATATACACATATATATATATATACATATATATATATAAATACATATACATATATACACATTATATACATATATATATATAAATCATCAAAGAAAGGTAAATACAGTATATATGTATATACTTTAGTGGCGTATCCAGGAGTCTTGCAATGCGAGGCTCAATGATTAAGCGAGGTAGTGATATGAAGTGAGGTGGTACAAGATTAAATTTTTTAACTATTGAGCGTAATTTTTTTTGCTTTCAACATTTTCAATAGGTGGGGGGGAAGGAGGCGACTGGGGACGAAGCTATCACCCCTAGATAATTCCCATGGAGTAGGTGTCATTGTATGTTATCCAGTAACCAGGGGCAATAACGCTTAAGCGCCATTATTTGATCATTGATTTCGAATTTGCGCTATATAAATCCTTAGCAATATTACCATGTTAACAAATCTACGATATGCATAATAATTTAAGACTTATATATTGCACAAAGGTGAAAGATGATGCAGTCGACTTAGGGAATTAATTTAAGCACCCTGTCACGTTGAACAGGACAAGCCCCCTGCCGCTATTAACCATAACTTATCAAAAAAAACAAAAAATAGGCACATATTACATTATAAAAATCCCAGAACAGCTTAAAATGGCCCAACATTTTGTTTTCTTGAGGCAATGGGCATAGCCCTCTGGATCCTACTATTAGGCTTTGTCCCCTGGTCCCCGCTGTGATTGTCAGATTCCCTGTTTGACAGCTTCACCGCCACCCCTGAATGTATAGCCTATTCACT